CACATACCTATTGTTATCACCAAATACTACTATCACACTCCCCTACCCGCCGACCCACTTCACATACATACCTAAACACACACACACACACACATTTTTTTTTTTTTGAAAAAAATAACCCGTACGTTTCCATAAATATATACGGTTTAGAAAAAAAATTTCATCCTCCTCGTAAATATCCATCGTATGAAGTGTTCCCGCTACGTGTTTCAGTTAATGAAAAAGTCAACCATTTCGACTTGTTGCTGATGACTAATGATAACGGTTCGCATTTTATTTATATTTCAAATATGTCGAGACTTATTAGATCATAGAAAACTAGCCACACTGAAAGCATCGTGTTTTGTAAACGGTGTTTTACATCATTTGATGATAGATGGTATAAATATAAGTTGAGCGGTAGGAAAGCACTAGAACAAGTTGTTACCTATAAAGATAAAAAAATAGAAAAAAAAGAAAAAAAACTAATATTTTTACTCACAGTCTTGATAGATTAACCACGATTTATCCTTCTTCTCGTCGTATTCGGGTGTCTTCTCGTTATTAGCTTTGGCATATCTCAGACCAGCCTGCACTAACCCGCCTCGTATACCTATTTAAAAAAAAATATATTTAAAATATATTTTTTTTTCAAATTTTTAAATATCCGAGAGTGGTTTAGGGAATGAAATACCTTCAAAATTATATCTATCCTCGTGTTTAAAATAATTTTCTAATAAACGATGAACCGAGTGCCCCATCACGTGTTTCGCTAATATAGCCCACTTAAAACACTGCTGATCAGTGTTTTGAGGGTTTATTGTGGCTCGTTGGTTTTCAATGTATGCGGGTAATTGGATATACGAGGAGACTGATAAAGGTGTATACCTATACACCGCTAACAATAAACCATCTATAGACTAGAGCGTAAACCCACTTCCTCTACTCTTATAAGTTTCTACTTCATCCAATAATTTCATGTAGGTTCTCTCTATAATCTCTGCAATATCTACTCTCTAAAAATGTCAACAGCTGATGTCTTAAAGGCCCTATACTCCGACGAGTTTTCGACGAGTGGTTGGAATTAAGTCGCCTCGAGCTTCAAATTAAATTTGATTGGTCTAAGCTGAACGCGTGGTTTCAATAAATTAGTTAGAGCTGGTTTAACCGATCGGAGAAAAACAGGGAAGTTTTGGTGATTATTAGTATTTTTAGTGTAATGCCATACAATTTTTCGGTTTGTCGAGGAAGAGATTTCTATAAACCCTGGAGACTGTATAATATTCATAGGCACCTTCTTAGCTCTAACAGCCGATATTGTGTTGGCGGATGAAACACGTTTTCCATATATGAATCTTTAAATTAAAAAAAAAATATACATTCGATAAATATATAAAATATATTTATAAAAATATATATAATAAATATATATATATATTCGTATAATAAAATATAACTAAAAATTATTATAAAAATATAATACATTTATTATGTTTATAATAAAAAATTATTTATAAAAATCCATCAAACCGTCTGACAACCGGTGTAATGCCGGAATACTCCGACTATTGCACCATTGATCGTTTCACAGACCGTATGATAAGTTTTCATATATGACTTGAGAAATATTATGTTTCGTTTATAATAAAAAATGTTTATAAAAATTATTTACCCCGCAAGTGATAAAATAAAACTAACTTGACGTAGTATCCATCAAGTCTTTATTTTCGTAATCTTCCATTGCAGCTATACAAATTTCGTCATCAGTCGCTGGAGCAGAGATTTCCAATAATTTTAATGAATTAAAAATATTCAAAAATCAGTTTAATCCTAAATAATAAAAATCTAGACTTATGTTTGATTTATTTAAATATAATACATACTATGAGTGATTTTCATATGACGGAAGAGATTATCTTTTCGTTTAAATTTACATTCACATTCAGCACAAGAAAATATATTTTCAGTTGTATCGACTTTTGCTTGGTGATGGGAAATTTTAATATGGATTGCGCGATTATATTCTCGTGAAAATATTTTCGGACAAAAAGCACATTGAATTTGTATCCCCTCGTGGGATTTAACGTGACGAATCGTATTTTGTTTAACTGTAAACACTTTAGTGCAACCGACGAACGTGCATGCGAACATATTTATTTTAGACGTAAACGTTAAATTAAAATAAGTAAATACTTGTTATAAAAACGGTATAAAATAAAATATTTCGGAGGAAACTGTAAGAAACGTGTAAGCGGGTTTATAGATGAATTTCTACTGAAAGACACTCGTACTCGGGGGTGGATTATATAGGCATAACGAATATTGTTATCGATAGTTAATTAACTATCGTATCAGTCGATTGTTTACTATTGAATTATATATGGTGACTTATAGGTTTATATAGGAGAATGTCATCTTTCGATCGATCTGATTAACATTGTTGACGACACGTACAAGACGTGATAAACAGTATTATTTACGAAGAATCGAGGTAACGGTTAACCGCTGTAATATTCCGGTTTTATTGCGGGTGGATATTCGATTGAAGTTGTTATAGTCTTCGCGCGCATACACCAAAAGGTCTACTCGTATAAACGCATGCGTATATTAATCTTAAAGGTTTTAATGGAGGTCTCGTATATTGTCAATTATGTACCGGCATAAAATAATTATTACGTTAATAGGAAAGAAATAATATCAAAGAGAAAGATATATACAGACAAAAAAAATACTACAGATTATCATTGGTCACAAGAGATGGACTAGGGAAAATATTTACGAGCTATACGATAGTGAGTGTGTGTGTTTGTGTGTATGTCTGTGTTTATATGTATGTATGTGTGTGTATATGTGTGTGTGTGTGTGTGTGTGTGTGTGTGTTTAGGTATGTATGTAAAGTGGGTCGGCGGGTAGGGGAGTGTGATAGTAGTATTTGGTGATAACAATAGGTATGTGAAAACCATGTAGGTATGTTATTACAGTAAGTCAAGTACGTAGTGTATATAGAAAAAAAAGAGGGCGGGGTAAAATATAGTTCGTCTAAGTACTCGATAATACGGAAAAAATATTTTTGGAAAAGTGGGCGTGGTTTAAATAGGTCGAGGAAGTAGTGGACAAATGATGAGGTGGATACTCCATGGAGTGAGGAGGTGGATACTCCATGGATGGGAGACTTTGGAACATACCAAATCATCCTACTGTCCTATTTAATACATCCCTGATTACGATTATCGCTCAGTAGAAAATATTCTATACACCCGCCGAAGACACCATTCCCTCCCGAATATTTTATTCTCCACAGTTTTTGTAAGAGTGATAATTGTTAGAGTTTTTATAGCGCTTGTTATATTCTATTTCGTACATTTTTATATCTATATAAAAATGAATACGTTCATATGCACATTCGCCGGATGCACCAAAGTGTTTAACACAAGAAATAATATAACACCCCACGCCAAAATACACGCCAGTGTAAAAATTCAGTGCGTTTTATGTCAGAAAATGTTTACGCGTAAAAACAATTTGGATATCCACGTGAAAATTGTGCACTATGAGGGAAGAGTCGCCCCGACTATAATCCCACAGACACCGGCTCATCTTTCGCCCCGCAGAATACTACAACCACAACACCTGTAGCCGACTCGTCGAACGCACAAACGCTGAAGCTGAAGACATAGATGAAGAAAAATTCCGAAAATTACTTTCCGAACAGGGCATGTATCAAGGTCAGGGTAGTGGACTACTACTTCAATCCATAGTTGGACTTTTATTAGGCGTATATAAATATACACCTATTGGCGGTTCGTTATATATTCCGCTACCCACAGACTTTTAAATAAACGGGCCGTAATAAACCCGCAAAATAAGGATCAGCAATGTTTCAAATGGGCGATTCTCGCAAAACATGTTACGGGCGAGCATAAAAATCGTGTAGGCGAAAATTATACAGAACACGAACAAAAATATAATTTTTCTGGTTTAACGTTCCCCATACCTCTATCCAAAATTAAAATATTTGAAAAAAATATTCCGTCCGTTTCGATCAACGTGTACGGATTAAAAGCGGAGAAGAAAAACAAACAAATTATTAATACCGTTTTCCCGCCGAAAGTCGCCAACGAAGAGAAAACCAACCATGTCGACCTATTATTAATTAACGACAATGAAAAAACTCACTATACTTATATTTCGAATTTTTCTCGTCTTGTACGCTCACAGAAAACCGCGCATAATGACAGTGTTGTTTTTTGTAAACGGTGTTTCACGTCGTTCGACAACCGTCCGAGAATAAAGTTGAGCGGGCAGGCGGCGCTCGAACAACACAAAAAAATATGCGGCGAACACAAACCGTTATTACCCATTATGCCCGGACCCGGATCGAAATTAAAATCTGAAAAGTGGGGAAAAACACAAAGACACCCCATCACCATCTACGCTAATTTCGAGGCGATTTTGGAGAAGACGGACGAGATGAAAGGAGGCAGTAATCCATAATCCATAATCATAGACCGATGTCGTACGGCATTTACGTGAAGGCGGCCGATGACGTTCCTAAGGAATTATTAGAAGAATTTCACATACCTACCAAGCCGATAATCTACAGAGGGACAGAAGACGAACCGAACGTGACGAAACATTTTGTAAAGACGATAGTGGAGTTGGGTTTACGCGTGGAGCAAATGTTGAAGACGAATGAACCTATTACGATGACTGACGTAGAGCGAGAGATACATTTGACCTGCGAAGAATGCAACTCATGTAGAAATAAATTTTCTGCACAAAATTATAAAGTCGCCGACCATATCAACCTGTTTGGGAGATTCGGACAGACGCTTTGCAATACCTGTTACCTAAAGTTACAGATTCCTAGTTTCTGGCCGTGCTTTTTCCATAATCTTAGCAATTACGACGCGCATTTCTTCGTCACGGAGCTGGGATACGATGCCGAAACAATTTCAGTCATTCCTAATAGTGAGGAAAAATTTATTTCGTTCTCGAAGTACGTGAGCAAGACCTTCACCGTAAGATTTATAGACACGTGTCGTTTTATGGCGTCGAAACTTTCATCACTCGCGTCGAATCTATTAATACCGGATTTCATTAGGTTCCGCGAGACAATGAAAGTGTTCAACAAAGAGGATATGTCACTTGTTACGAGGAAGGGTGTATATCCGTACGAATATACAGATAGTTGAGGAAAATTGGAGGAAGAAACATTACCGGGGAAGGATGAGTTTTTCAGCCCGTTTATTTGAAATGTCTGTGGGTAGCGGAATATATAACGAACCGCCAATAGGTGTATATTTATGTACGCCTAATAAAAGTCCAGGTACCCTTGATACATGCCCTGTTCGGAAAGTAATTTTCGGAATTTTTCTTCATCTATGTCTTCAGCTTCGCTTTCGAAAAAAATAGCTCGAGCGGATGTTTTAAACGACCTATCCACAGTAGAATTATCTACATGTGGCTTATAATATGTCGATTCGAGTTTGAAATTGAATTTAATGGGATTATTTACAGATATTGTTATGAGAAGTTGAATTATAGAAGGTTTGAGAGATTGGAGAAATTTTTTGTAGTTGAAAATATTATTTAAATTTTTGACGTAATACCAAACGATCTTTCTTGAGTGAGACAAGTCGACTTCGGTGAATCCGGGGGCGTTCACTAAAACCATCCTAACTTTCTTCACCTTGACGGCAGTTTCAAGGTTCTTACGTTTCGTACCTATCGGGGAATAAAATACCTAAATTATAACCTGTTATAAAAATCCATCAACCGATGTGACAACCGGTGTAATGCCGGAATACTCCAACTATTACCCCATAGGATGCGACGAGTGAATTGATCGATACAATGCCCGAATACTCCAACTATTGTACACTTGATCGTTTCACAGACCGTATGATGAGTTTTAATATATGACTCGATTGAGAAATATTATGTCGCGTGTTTAATAAAATAAAAAATGTTATATTACTACTTATGTGGCGGGGTAAAATAAAAAAAATCTTACTGTTGTCATCATCCATAAACAGGTAATCGTTTTCTTCGTCCGTTGTCCAATGCGTTTGTGCGTTCGACGAGTCGGCAACAGGTGTTGTGGTTGTAGTATTCTGCGGGGCGAAAGATGGGCCGGTGTCTGTGGGATTATAGTCGGGGCGACTCTTCCCTCATGGTGCACAATTTTCACGTGGATATCCAAATTGTTTTTACGCGTAAACATTTTCTGACATAAAACGCACTGAATTTTTACACTGGCGTGTATTTTGGCGTGGGGCGTTATATTATTTCTTGTGTTAAACACTTTGGTGCATCCGGCGAA